AATTAATTTAACACTCTTTCCAAAAAATAGAATTTGAATAACTTCCTTGGTTCCGAAATTGAAGGTTTTTTTTTTTAAAACTGAAATTGAATGGTTTAATGTATATCTTCCTTGTTTCTGAAATTAAAGGTTTTATTCTAGTTTACAAACAAATTAGTAGATTCTAGAGTTATTGGAAATATTTATAATTGATTTTCTCTGAAGACTAAGAGTCTAAATAGAAAATTATTGGGGACAGAGGGAAAAATAATTTCAATTCAAAATTTTAGATCTTATATATATATATATATATATATATATATATATATTAAAACAGAAGTCACAACTTATTCATGTGTGATTTTTCATTTAAATGAACCCTTAGAAAATCATGTATCATTGATTTCATATACCTATTTTCTGGTTTATGTCTATAACTAATGCCTATAATATTGGTACAGTTAACAAACATATTTTGCCATCATTAATGAATCACACACAATGACCTAGGCTTACGATCATTGTGTAATGGGCTGAAGATAAATTAATATAAATGTTAACGACCCATTGCTTTATAATTATGATCAGAGAATTTTAAACCCATCTGTGACTAGATTTTAGTAGTTAAAAGGAAGGTTTATCATTAATGTTTTATCCTTAAACCCGATGTAAACATTTTAAACCCATCTATAACTAGGTGTTTTTCCGGTATTACGGGAATAATGTTTTTACGAATAATTATTAATTTATATTTTATTAATTAAAAATCAGTATAATAAATTATTATTTATATTTTCAAAATTTTTAAATCAAACATTAAATTAGTTATAAAAGACAATACTTACAAATCAGAAATATGTTAGAAAATATATTTATATAAAATTTTTGTTTGATTTATATTTAATTATATTTTTTATCTCATAATTTTCAAACTTTATAATAGATAAAATATTTTCAATATATCAACAAAAATAATAAAAATTCTAATTATCTAAAATATAATGTTATTAATCTAAATTTATCTTAATTATATAATAAATAATATTAAAAATTATGAAAACAAGACAAATAAGCAAAGTTACATAAAATCGTGAAGAAGTTAACAAATCAGAAAATTTACTTCTCAAATAAAAGAACAGTTAAATTTATAATAGAAAATAGATTTTTAAGATAACAACATCATACATAAAAATTATCTTATTTTCTAAAAATATAATACTTTATTATAATTCATTTTAATTATATAATAAATTATGTATGAAATTATTAAAAACATGGTAAATAAGCAAAATTACATCAAATCATGGAGAAAATGACAAATCATAAAATTTAATAAACTCAAATATCAAAAAGATTTTAGAAGATATATTTATAAAAATAATTTGCTTGATTTATATTAGTTATAATTTTTATATCATAATTTATAAATTTTATAAGAAAAATATATTTTAAATATAAAAACATAAACAATAAGAATTAACTTATTTTCTAAAAAAATATTTACTATAAAAAATAGATTTAATTATATTAGTAATTATATAAAAGTTATTAAAATATGAAAAATAAGTAAAATTGTCTAAAATTGTGGAGAAATTGACAAATAAACAAAATTACCTAAAATTACGGAGAAGTTGACAAGTAATTAAATTTACTTTTTCAGATAATAGTATAGATTACTTTTTTTTTTGTCAGCGATTTCATATTACTTAAGTTTTCGCAGATTTATCAATTATTTAACACAGGTCAGCTACTTCAAAACAAGAACAAAAAAAAAACAGTCTGCGGCAAAAACGACATCGTGTAGTTGTGTCCTGCTCCTGCCTCCTATTTTCTTTCCTTCGTCTTTCAACCGTCCGATTATCCGGTCTTCGAGTCAAACCCCGAGAAAACCCACGTGTCTCTCATCTGCTTCTTAATCATCTGTGCCGCGTAGTACGGTACTCTTTCCCTATTCGAACGCTTGAGCCGTTGATCAACGAACGCCAAACAATCCATCAAGCTCTCTCTCGCCGACCCTTTCAAATCGTACGCTTGAGATCTTCTCCACAAACTCTTACCATGAGGATCATCCACACCAGATAAACACAGAGCCCTCGTAGCATCACTAACAGCAGACTCAGCTTTCTTCAGCAACAAGCAACACTGAGCTCTGTTGCTATACAACACAACCCTATCTCTCACCATATCCAACGGACACAAATCAATCCCCATCGTATAAATCTCCATCGCTTCTTCAACAAAACCCATCGAAAACTTCTTCTTCCCCTGTTTCTTCAACGACTTCACCATCTTTCTTCTCTCTTCAAGCTCTGTTTCACTCATAAGCTTCTCCTTCTTCTTCCTCTCTACTTTAACCTCCCAAAGACTCTCTATACTCCTCTGAGCTTCCTCGCTACTCATCTTCAAGCCACTGTACTTAATCTTGTGGTAATCTTGTAAAACTACTTGAGCTACTCTGTCTCCAACAGCTACATCTTCTGCTAAATCAACTAAACGATGCCCTAAAACATCGATAACTCGATACCTAACGTTTGAGTCTTTAAGAAGCAACAAAAGGGTATCTAAAGCCATCTCTTTCCAATCATCAGATGATCTCGAAACATCGCAAAGTCTCTCAATCACTTCTCTAACCTCACTTACTCTGTTTCTTCCATACTCTGTTTTACACAGAGTCTTTAACAATCCAATGCCTCCTGGTGACTTCCGGTTTACTAAACCGCCCCACATTGAACACACCTTCTTCAAAAACCCTACCTCGCAGATTCTATCGATAGATTTACCTCGCGAGGCGAAGCTGTTTAATAGATATAAAGACCAGCATTGTAGCTGAATCCCCCATTCCTCTGCTTTTTGATTCTCTGTTTCTAACCCACCAAGCCCTCTTGTCAACAAATCGCTTTGATACTTGACCCTCAAGGAATCTTCAACCCCAAGAAAGGTTCTGTAAACGTTCTTTAAACAGTTACTAGCTATCTCCATAGAAAGCTTCACAATCTCATCTTCAAACAAAGAAACGGCTTCAAAGCTCTTCTCATGGCTAGCTAAGTGACCAAGCGCTCGAGCCGCGGCTCTCTGCTCAACCCAACTGATTCTCCCTCTCAAAAGCTCCAACAAAGCAGGAACCACAAGGACCTTTGACTCAACCGCTAGTGAAGCTAACTCTTCCTTGTTCATAGCGTATGATCCTATGATATGAGCTGCGTAGTAAGGAATGAAAATGTTTTGGTCTTTGAGAAGCCAAGGTGTGTTGTTGATTGATTTTTGTATGAGTTTTGACATACACTCGAACAAACCGAGTGATGGGAACTCAGGATCGTCTGGCTCGGACATGGCTATGTTCCAAAGACCGCTCAAGACCAAGACATGGTCTTTTGACTCCGTACGAGGAATCTCTTTGAATATGGAGGCGAGTTTTGATCTTCTACGAAAAGGGTTTGGCTCTTTCATACTGCAGAAGAAACAAGATGGGTTTGTGCATTGTGGTTCATCGAATTTGAGCATCTTGTTGTTTTTTTCTTCTTTGGATCTTGAAAGAGAAGAAGAGACTTAACTAAACAACCAGTTATGCTTTATGCAAACATAATTCTTCTCTTTTGGACAAATTAATATAGTACAAATAAACAATTAGCTCGCGTGGAAAGTTTTTATGGCGGCTACTTCCTCTTTTTAGCCTTTACCTTTCCACTTCAAGTTCCAAGATTATATGTTAATAATATGTGTATTGACATAATAGTGTACATCAAGGTTTCGTGATCTTTAACCAAAATTAGGTGAAAATAAGGACCAAAAGACTCGCGTTCACACAAACTCTAGATATGTGATGATGTTGGACATAAAAGCCTTGGTGGTTTTGACATTTTGATGTCATTATCTATTGTCCAAAATTTAATGAATCATTCATGTCCACCAAAATGGTTACAATTAAGATTTTTTCATGTAGATGCTAGCTCTAGGATATATTATGAGATTTTAATCTTTTTTGTCCAAAAAAAAGGATATATTATGAGAATCACATGATCATTTCGACTCAAAACACAATTTCAAAACTAGCTTCCAAAGGTATTAATTTTATCTTCAACTTAAGTCTAAGGAATGACATTGTTGTTTTAACAAATTACTTAAATCCTGGTGCACTAGTGAAAACACCATCACATAAGTGCTGAACATAAATTTTCGGTAGTTAGTTTTAAGAATTTGCACTATTATGTGATGGTGTTTTCACTAGTGCAAATTTGATTAAAACTTTCACAATTGTTATTAGTAACAAACAACCGATCTATGAAACTCCCAAACTTTTCTTTGGATACCAACCAAACTAACCAAAGTTAATACTTAGATGTTTGAGACTTTTGAAGATAAGAATGTAAAGTTTTAAATATATCTATTAACTTGAAGTACCGAGTATGACATTACGGTCTTCTATATCACCAATGATTTACATGCCTTTCGTTTTGCGTACACACTCAAGACTTCAAATGTGTAAGAGCATGGAAATTAAAAAAGAAAGAAAGACAAGTGAAGTTGGATTTGCGGTCCCCTCATGGAGGAAGCCAATGAGAGTGAAGTAAATGTCCCTTACGAAAAGCTTTGTCCTTTGGTCTTAACAACAAATAACAAAATCTTTGTTTGTGTCTCAAGAAATTGCGGCTACCTAAAAAGCCACTCTTTTAAACTCAATTAATCACCACTAATCTCTGGTCTTTACAGGTATATTAGTCATCACTAATAGTATTTGGTCTTTACAGGTAAAATGAACTATCACTAACCTGACTCATCTCCCATGTTAATAATCATTTCTTTTCAAGATTCGCAGATCAAGAAAGCCCCTTTCTAGAAGAAAGAAACACTTTAAGAGTTCAGACTAAGTTCTCAACTTGACATGTGTATCTGTCAGAGAAACTCAATATTTATCTATTTATCAAAAGCAAGGGTTTGAAGTTTAATCACAATCACTTAATCCGCATGCTTATGTGCTTTGATTCTCGTGCACAATCACATGAACTCTCCACAAGAAAACCTCTCAAAATTTTTGAATTTTATGAATCATAAAAGAGTCTCATGATATAGAAAACATCCTATGATAACATATTCTCACTTCACTATGCACAAACTCTGAAACCTGTTGTGGTTTCAAAATTCACAAAACGCCAAATGCAAAGAGTAACTAGAGGGAGGGATAAAGAGAGACAAGAATGAGCAAAATATACCAATATTACTACTTTCAGGGAGCTTTATTGAAGATGGGGTTAGGCTGATCAAGCAGAAGGCTCTGTACACTGAGAGAGGAGTTTTCAGTGAGAAGTTTTATGCCTCTTAGCGGCCGGTGTAGGATCTTCTTCTTCTTCTTCATCATCATCTGCTTCTTCTGACATAGTCTCTCTTCCAAACTCATTCATCAGCTTCATGAAACAATGATCAAGCTCCGGTTCTGCTTCATAATCATTCATCTCTGATCCATCAATCAGCAGCTGAACACAACAAAAGCTTTTTTTCTCAGCTCCAAACAAACACTACAATATGAAAATGTAACCAAAAAAAAAATGCTTACATCTTCTACTGTGGGGAAACCTAATCTCCCATAAGGAAGTGGAGAAACGTTATACAAAAACTGCCCATCACTTTCAGGAGGAGGAGCCGCTTGAGGAGGTATCATCAACAAATCTTCAGTATGATCAGCAGATATACGTTGCCTCCCAATTTGCACAGTCCCTTCTCTCTGGTTCATTAACGGTTCTTCTTCCACCATAGCAAGTTGCTTAACATTCTGTACCGAAAAGTCTCTCCGAGATCGAGTTACTGTTGCAGGCATCAATGATGTATGACCAGCCTGAGACTCACACAACAGCTGATCAACACGCTTCTTCAATCTTCTTGCTTTATCCTGAGCCTCATCAATCTTACACAGAATCAATCCTAGTATATCATCCGAACGATCTGACTCAGAAACAAAACAATCATCCTCAACCTCATCCTCCACCTCTTCTTCCTTCACTGTAGCTTTCCGGCTTGTACCAGGAACAGGGCACTGAGCTTTGAGAGTTGTTGGCTTCCTCTTCTCTGAAACACAAAGTTTAAACCATTGGAGCCATAATGTAGTCACATTTAGAGAAATGAAACCAAAAGAAAAATGCAATTTTATCCATACCGGCATAAGAGAAAACATTATGGTTGGAGATATAAGCAGCAACATCTGTTGTCTCTTCAACTCGTCTCCTTCTTCCTCTCTTGAAAACACTCATCCTCTGAGTTTGATCACCAAAAGGTTTCAACTTCCCATCAAACCCTTCCAAATTCGACTCTTTACTCTGATAGTAACTTCTAACTTCTTTGTCATACCATCTTGCTTGAGACTCAATCTCCTTAGCTTTGAGCTCTAACCACTTACACCTCCACATCAAAGGCTGACAAAACTTCCTCCACTCATCAGTCACCTTCTTCTTCCTCAGACCCAACAACTCAGCCCCATCACCAAAACTAGCCTCAGGTAATGGATAGTCTTTGTTTAACATTGATTCAGCTTCCAAATCATTATCATTATCACCATCTTCATCGTCACGGGCACACATTGAATCACCAAAAGAGCTTGAAGAGGATTCACACAAAGCCTCTTCTCCTTCTTGAGACTCATCAGTCAGATTATTACACTCCAAGATATCAACTTTAACGTCTTCAGAGTTATCCATAAAAGCCTTCAGCTTTGCTCTGTTACAAAGTGAGACAATGAGATTAGACCCCAAAGCATTCAACTTTGTTCAGCTATAATCGAAAAACAAGATCAGACAATGAGATTAAGACCCAAGAAGACAAAAAAGGTTTCAACTTTGGTCTTACTGATTCCAAAGCCTAAGTGGGTTCGAATCATATACCAAAAAGAAACGATTTTTACTGAGAAGATATAATCGAAATCGAGTGATTCGGTGATGTTAGAGGATTTAACGCATGCCCAGAAGCGATTTTGAATGAATCGGAATCTGTTAGCGTAAATCCAGAGTTCTTGGAGAGAGAGTTAAACCCTAAACCCTAAGAGAGAGAGAGAAAGAAAGAAACAGAGAGAGAGATAGAGAGAGAGAGAGAGAGAGAGAGAGAGATTATTCACCGAACGAAAATTGACTGGGGGTTGTGTTCTGTAATCGCTCGCTTGTAGAAGAATCCAAAAAGAAGTCGAAAGAGTTTTCTTTAATTCCCCCAAAATAATAATATCGCAATGCTGTTATGAAATATATGTTTATCGAGTGATTTATTCTCTAAATTTAATAGATCTTTATTTTTCTGGTGAATATTACGAAAAGCAAATATGGAAATTACCAATAAAGCAATTTTGGTTTATAGATTGCGACTTGTGAGTATTTCCTACTTCACTTCAACTTTTTTTGCCATAAATGTATCAGTTAATATATAAAATCTACGTTTACAGTAAAATTGAGTTGTTGTTTTTGGAAATTAGTAAGTGTTACCATATATACTTATTAATTAATATAAAAATGCATTGCCGCATAATAACTGGATTTTTGTTTGGGTATTCTGTTTTTCCTATGGGTGGTTTGACTAAAAATCATTAATTATTTTATATTTAGAATTTAAATCCCAAAAGAAATGAAATTATGCGAATTAAGAATTAAAAAAAAAACTTACAAGATATATATGATATGGCACAAAAAGTATCTTTCATGATAGATCTCATAGAGCGGTTCAAATGATGTAGTCAGTCATGAATCCTTGTAATATATGTAGAATTATCAATTATAGAATCGTCTGCAATATTTCCTTTAGTTTGTAAATGAATAATTATTCAACGGTAAAAAAATCTGTCCACATTTTGTCTTTTTTATTCTCTCTTAATACATTAGTACTAAGTTATTAAAAATATTATGCTCGAGAAACTGTATAATCCTATTAATATATTTTTGAGTTGATTGCTATAACTAAACTACATATAATATATTTATTGATGTATTATATAATATTATTTTATAATTTTTTATATGTTAATTTAATTATATTCATTAAATTATATTTGGTATCAATTATTTTGAAATAGCAAAATTTTAATAATCGTAGGCTTTAGTTTCGAGGATCTATACTTTAATTTCTAATTTAAACAGAATATTAATATTGCTAAATTAATTGATAATTATTTAAAATATTTTTAAGGTTAATGTTATTCAAAATATATTTATGTGAAAGCATAGAAGCAGCATTTTAAAGAGCTGTTCAGTTTTTAAATGGTTTATTAACAGTTAATGCTTCACTAATGAAACTTAATACAGCACTCTCTAAAATCTCTACCATTAATCAAGAACTTAAAAATATGTATAAGAGGAAAAAGAGGAAAGTAATAATTGGGTATTTAATCGGTCAAAATTAAAATTTGACGGTTTCAATACAAAAGCAAGTGTATGAGGAAAAGGGCGATTGTAAGGAAAATTCAAATGTGTCAATTTGGTTTAATTAGGAAATAATATTTTTTGACCAAAAAAATATATTTCTGCTTCAAGTTTTACTTGTTCAACAGGAAATACATTAATTAATTAGAAATTTTTAAAATTAACAGTAAAAATGCACTTGTTTTGGAAATTAACACGTCACCATACATCTATTTATTGATATAAACAAGTATGCATTTTGAAACAATACTGCAACTTGGTTTTGTTTGAGTTAGAAATGTGAATTTTGGTTTATCGTAAACATGTGCATTGCAAATAACTCGATTTACTTTTACTGATAAATATGCAAAGTCAAACTTGAATGCAGTTTTCATCAAATTTTTTTCTTACCAATGACTGAGCAATGAGACAGAAAAAAACATAGAGAACAAAATACAAATGAAAAGGATATAAAACACTCATAATTAAAAACAAAAAGTTGGCATTATTTACTAAGCAATAAACATAAGTAAGACGGTTGGTATGGTATTCTTTGAATAAGACCGAACAGTTTGTAAGATAAAAGTAAGGAACTAAGAGGCTGTTTATAAAGGTTGCAGTTCTTGCTCAGCGACTATGGCTTCATCGACAGGTTTATAGAGATTTGATGTTTGCTTGCGTTTCCACATCAACCAAACTCCATATGCTAATAAACCAACAACTACAGAGACCATCACAATTGCGATCACGAGAGTGGTGTTCTTCATCTGCCACCTTGTCCTAAAAGTTCAAACAAGAAATGAACAAAACTTTACTTTGAGAGAAATGGAGTGACAGACAATCTATTGTTTTGGCTAAAGATTTAAGATTGATTGTGGTACCCTTTACTTTGAGGCTCGAGTTTGTAAGTAACGAGCTGGTAATCTCCGAAGGTCTCAGGAAGCTTGATTTGATGATCACTAAACCGAGAAACTATGCTCTGAAAGGAGAATGATGGAGAGGTCAAGTAAGAGGATGAAAATCAAGCAATGCAAAAGGAAGAAGTTTATTGTAAACATCAGATACCGTTGCTGTGACATTGGAAAATAAACTAGAAGATTCGGTAGGAACAACAACTACTCTTATTAGAGAGTTGCTTCCATTAGAGGTGAGGTTTGATAAATAGACCTGTGAAAGGGATGACTCAGACATTAGCAACAAAAAATAGTGTTGAAACGCTTACAAACTATAAAGTGTTTATACCTGTGTAGGTTTGATATTGAGCTCCTTGGAGAATAACTGGGAGAGCTCATCAATGCGAGGTTTCAGATATGAAGAATTGACTGTTAGTTGGATATCAAGGTTTATCCGACCAATCTGATTCTTCTCCCCTGAGGAAATAAGTACAAAATCATCAAGAGGCAGTGAAAAAAGATTTATAGATGAAATCTACCGATGTCACTAACCTGGGAGATTGTTTGATGTATTGAGAGATGGATTTGAATCATTTGAAGGCAATTTTGCAGGTGGTGGTGGTGGTGGACTTGGTGGTGCACCAGCTATATGAAGCCTATCTGATAACTCTGAACAATTAGTTCTCCAGAATCCAACCTTAGAATTCTCACGATCATACACAACAAGTGTGTTGCGAACCACAATTCCTGATCATACAAGATCTTGCGTTACCAATGAGAGTAAGCCTAAAGAAAAATAAACAGAGAAAATTGATATCTACTTACCTCCTAAAAGGGTCGTATGATCTTTCCCATTTGGGAATACACCGAGACAGTATGCGCCATGCACCTTGGAATGCTTTTTATTGAATAAAAAGTTAATCACATCAGCTGCTACAACATTATCTATAGAGGTTCAAGGACTATATAACTTACACGGAACAAGTAATTTTCAGGGGACAAAAGCCATGACTGTCCACTCTTGAAAACCATCTCCACTGAAGGGAATATTTTTGAAAGTCCGGAAGCATCGTTACTTAAAACATAACCAAATCTTACTGTCAGTAACTTCCAGTGTTTGAAAGTTTTGAAAATAAAGATCACAAGCTTGCAAAGACATCATACCTTGGAGCAACATGGAAGCAAGTATCTTTAAAATTTGGATCAGGGCCATCAATCTGCTTCAACGGAGAAGCTTCCCTCATTACCTACACAAATACAACAAAACATAAGAGCCCAGTGCAAGAAAACCAGAATACTGAACACAAAAGATTAGAGAGTTCTTACAGCTTCCTCAAATGCTGCAAATGCTGCGTCAGGGAGATAAGCATACGTCGTACCACTATCTAAAACAGCTCCATGTTCTCCATCAAAGACTCCAGAGCTAAGCGACAACTGCTTCCCAGCAACACGTATCCCCGTCAAATCTATATTGTAATATGGACTGTCGCCATCCCGAAACTAGAGTCAAATGTGTGGAAAGGTATTAAACCGTATCTGTCAGGATTACACAAGATCTATTCCCCAACCAGACAAAAGGCAAGTCCTTCAGAACATACCTACGATCAGGGTCCGAGTCCGTGAATATCATATCAGACGGGTAATCAAAACCACCAAGAACCATTGAACCTCCACCGATATCCATCCCTCCATAACACAAAGCAAAAGAGTTGCTTATCAAACCTTTATCCACCAACTGATCAACAAGACTTAGATCTCCTTGTCCTAATCCAATAATACCATCAGCACGTTGACTGTACAGATCACCGGTTTCAACAGTCTCGCAACCAAACACAGCTCGCTGAGGTGTAAGCTGACTTTCATTACCAAACGAAATGAGATCTTCTCCGAGCACGCCTTTGCTACTACTATGTTCAGCGTACTCACGCTCGTAAACGCATTGTTCTTTATCATCGTCACAGTTACAGTCCATGTTGCACTTTACAGGTTGGTAAGTGCTGGACATCTCCGGCTGAAACTTTGGATCCTGATGAATGTCCACAAGATAAGTAAGCAGTTATGGTTCTAAAAATCAGTCTAGGCAGCTCCTAGGCCCCCTCCTAAGCAGCAAACCGGTCATAGCCGACACAATTTTCATAAAATCTGATTTATATGGTTCAAGTCGGTTTAAATTTTCTTAAATCGGTTTAATTCAATCTAAATTAGTCTAAATCTATTAAATTAAGCAATCATGCTAGTAGAAATCACAAATTTATCTAAGTTCTTTTGTTTTGTATTAGATCTAATTTTAATAATTCATCAAAAAAATTTCAATGTCAAAGATTAATTTTATAGTTTCAACGCAAAATTTATCAATTTTATATGATATTTTATTTTTCATTGGTTAGTGAATACGTAATAGTATTTTTATCTAAAGAATATATAAAATTAAATGGTTTTTCAATCTGCGTGCAAAAACTCAAAACCACAACTAAACTGAAACGGACTGAATATCTTATATAAATGTACTATATATTGTGATAAAAAAATGTACTATATATATAATATATAAAAATAAAATAATTTAATAATCCGCCTAATCCTCTGCAACTAGTTACCAGTTAGCAATTTCTTGAACATTGTTAAAGCACACAACAAGATTGAAAGTTTATCGTTAAGAATCTAATTACCTGGTGTTTGCCACACTGTTCACAGTCAGAACACGGAACATAAGTAACAGTACTCCCAGAATCAACAATGAGAGCAAACATCTGAGGAGGCGTACCAATCCAAAGCCGCGTCGTGTAATACCTAATCGAAATTCGAATTATTACACATTATTCTTATCACGAAATCAGATCTGTAAAAGAGAAGTTAAACTGCATTGAAGAGGATTGAGAATTTGATTACCCGTTGAGGAGAAGATCGTCGTAGAGTCGCATGCGAGAGTTAGGTAGTGATGATTTGTGGAGTTTCCGATGGTGAAGGGAGACGGATCTTGAAGGAGAGGAGGAATTGGATTGGGAGAGGAAGAGAGGGAATAACATTGGACGGCGTGATCCATCATTACCAGACGCGTTTGTGGAGAGGAGAGATAGGTAGATTAGGAGGAGGGAGAGTGTTGCGTAGATTGAGGTTAGTGACATATCTTAAATCTCCGGTGAGATTCTCCGATGTGAGGAGGTAATAAGAAGGAGGATGGGAGTGAAGACGTTAGATCTAAGGGAACGAAAGGTACTTTTTTGCTTTGGATACAAAAACCAGCAATGAGGCCATGTAAGCCAAAAACGACGTAGTTTTGAGCTAAGTGGCTTTTTTTGTAACAAGCTTTTTTTATTTTGCTTTATAGGTTTGTGCAATTTACTGTAACAACTATTCGAATTTCTTTGTTTAGAAAACAAAAATTAAACCGAAAACTAATAGTTGCCTGGAAAATTATATTTTATATCGTCTAAAAATAAGTACTTTTAGTTTTAAATAACCAAATAAGTTATTTAAAATAACTAAAAAATACAAATAGTTCCTTTGAGAAACGGGTGATTTTCAAATCATCTCCAAGTTAACTTTGTGTTGGTTTCATTCACGCTAAAAATGAAAAAAAAGTATGTTTGGTTTTATGATTACGATTGGTCTCTTGTCCAGAGAAACATGGAGGAGGCAGTCCAACAGTTTCAGCCGGCCTAAGATGATCAATTCACCACAAGAAGAAGGAAAAAGAGTTTGAATCTCAATTTGACTAGTCACTCTTGGAATACGTAGCTGTTACAAGATCAATAAGCAACCTATGTAGTATTAAGATACAAAAAGTGTTGGCAAAAAGAAGAAATCACATAGGCGGAACCTTGTTTTGTGGTACACATATATATATATATATATATATATATATATATATATCCAACAAGAACGCTGGCTATCATCCCAAACCGTTGCAGCAGAAGAGAAATAGAGATATATTTCATAGCTAATGTAGTACTGCAAGTAATTTTGGAGCAACTAAGTAACAAAGAAGGATGTCAATTTGGTGGGCGGGGTACGGGATCCATCCACTGTGGGAGCACGAATTGTGATAACGTGATCACCGAAGCTGGATCATATATAGGTTCCATATGTTCCTTAGTACCTAACGTGTTTACGCGCCAGCAATCACTCCAAGTCTCCCTTTCCTGATATAGAGTAAACTCTTGTGTCCTCAAGTCAACCGACGCCACGCAACTGTGTTCTCTACTCCATATATACACCAAATCAGTATCAAACGGGTTAACTCCCAAAGGAAAACAATCAACATCAAACCCCATGTTGATCTCCCCTCTTAACAACTGCCACCATTCCCCATCACAGTTACTACTATTCTTCAGCTTCCAAACCTTTAATCTTGAAGACAACACTTCAACGTAGATAACATCTCCTCCCGAAGAAGTCAAGCATCTCCTAACATCCTTGTTATCCAGGACAGGGAGAGGTATAACACGACACTGATCATCATCATCATCATCGCCATAAAAGTCATGAGATACAAGGATTCCAGGGCCAGTGGGATCATCCAGTCTTGTCTCCCACGCATAAAGCTTCCCGTTGGGATTTGTGGGAGATGGATTATACTCCTCCGCAAGGCCCATCGAATGGGAGAATTTAGCCCAACGCGATAACGTATTCGGCCCATTAACCCTACTGGAAGCGACTCGGCATGACGACGCGTTTAGAAGCACAACGAAGAGCGTCTCAAAGAGTCAAGCAAAAGACGGTTTACCCGGATACGCTAAACGGGCCCAACAGGAATAGAGTCCAGTAAGGCCCGGGAAAATTAGGGCGAACACACAGACATGGTCTATATAAGCAAGGAGGCAGCAAAGAGAAAGGGGATCCGGAATTAGACATACTCACTTGGCGGCTAGATCTAGGGTTTCTTAGTGATTAGGTGGTTAGATCTAGGGTTTACTCGCCTTCTCGTTTAGTCACCTCCCTGTTTAGTCACCTTCCCGTTTACTCACCATCTTGTACTTCCGGCTAACCCGCCGATTTACTCTCCTCTTTGTAACCCCTTGTTCAGATCTAATAAAACGTCTTTGTTCGCCCTCATCTCTCTCTTTATATTGTTTCAAACCATTTTCACCTCAAACAATTTGGCGCCCACCGTGGGGCTCTGAACAAAGCAACGTTATCAGATCTAGACATGCCTGACGACGGAACCGTCTCCGGAACCGCCGGCGAGGAGCCGACTCAGACTCCTGTGCCCGAAACACCTCTTCCTCCCGACTTCATGAGCTCCGTCATGGCGCGTTTCGCCAGACAGGACGAAATACAAAAGGAGACTCAAGCTCAACTCGCCGCACTCGTAGCAGCGTTAACAGCAGCTCCCGCCGGACAGACGAGTAACTCTCAACCGTTCCGACGTCATCTCTTCCACACTATCCCGACAGCGCCGATAGCCGACCATGCCTCCGAAGAGTCGGAACCCAACGAGCCGCATACCGCAGAAGCGGCTCAAGTCGGCCCAGATCTCACCACTGTCCGTGAAATCGCCGAGCTCAAACTGAACGTCCAACAGATGAGTTCCACGATTCACAAGGTTACTAGCGCCGCTCCACAGATCGAGAGTGTTCTCGCCTCAACCGAGCGTACTCCATTCACCAGTACGCTGACTAGCGTAAACTTCCGCAAGATCGAGAAGTTACGCGTCCCACAGTACAAACCTGGAGGCGACCCTGTGGAGCATATGACTGCTTTCAACATCGCGATGGCTCGAGCGCGACTACCCGACGAGGAAAGAGACGCCGCGTACTGTCAGCTGTTCGTAGAAACGCTCCACGACCAAGCCTTGACCTGGTTCTCAGGTCTCAAGGAGAACTCTATCAGCAGCTTCAGAGAGCTTTCGTCGGCTTTCCTCAAGACCTATATTATGTTCACTAAGCGCGAAGCAACAGCCTCCAGTTTGTGGAACCTGAAGCAGACTAAAGACCAAAGTCTTCGTGACTTCATGGAGCGCTTCAAATCGATCGTCTCAAAGATAGACATCCCTGACCATATAGCCGTCGACGCTCTCATGAACACCCTCCATCTCGATTCCAAGTTCCGAGAGGACCTATACCGCAGCACCTCCACAACGCTCCAGGATGCCATAGCCCGCTCACACAACTTCATCCGAATGGAAGAAGACACGAAAGCTATCATAGGCAAGCATAGCGCAGCGAAGCCGACAACACCCAAGACCTCTGACGCAAAGCCGGAGCCGCGTCAACACGCTTCCGGCGACAAGAAACAACAAAAGAGCGGCCTTCTCTTTGTCGTCGACGAGAATAACACCCCAGTCGCGAGTTTCTCCGTACGCGGCGAGCCATGGAACGTGTACANGAAGCCGACAACACCCAAGACCTCTGACGCAAAGCCGGAGCCGCGTCAACACGCTTCCGGCGACAAGAAACAACAAAAGAGCGGCCTTCTCTTTGTCGTCGACGAGAATAACACCCCAGTCGCGAGTTTCTCCGTACGCGGCGAGCCATGGAACGTGTACAACCGCGAGACGGCGGCTCTGAAAGGTTTAGCTAGTCCTACCGGACCGACTCAACCAGTTTCGCCGGCTACCTCAGGAGCGGGATCTTCTAAAGGAGTCGACCTCACCAAGCACTGCAAGTACCATGACGTCAAAGGACACGACACAACCGAATGTAGAACGATGTACGCTGAATTCCTCTCATCGGTTGAAAAGGGCGACTTCAAGATTCAACCTCCAAAGCAGAAGCCTAAATCCGGTAAGAGTTGGTCTAAGAACAAAGATAAGCGCGCGCAGCGAAAGTCCGGTGGTAAGAGCGGAGAGCAACGCCGTCCAGATGACAAACCTTCGGATGCCGCCGACAACGAAACCTCCTCGGGGGACGAGGGACAACCAGCAAGCCGTCAACGTATTGAAGTGATTCGGTCTCAGCAACCTTTATCATCCGATGACGAGGACGATAACTCGCCCGAGTCAAGCGACCTGCGAAGCCTCCTGAAGCGAAAGGAGGCGACATGTAGTGACGTCAATAGCAGAGACCTCCGCCTCAAGCTCCAAGCCAACAAGTCGCGACGCCTGGAAACCAAGGAACCTCCCTCGTCTGTCGACAAGCCTGTCACAGATCTGCGCGACAAACTCAACGCTAACCTGACCGATTTACGCGCGCGACTAAACCGTTCCAAATCAATGAATCAGCGGCTAGAGCGGTCAACCTCGTCTCATACCGTGGAGTCGTCAAAGTCGAGCGGAGAGAATGTCCCAGCGGATCTCCGTACATTCTTAGATACCAAACGGGTAGTCGCGAAACCACGTCTGAACGTCATCATGGGTGGATCACCTCCTTGTGGCGACTCTGTCCGCTCCGTCAAAGACTACCGACGTCAAGCCGCGTCTTCGAGACGCTGGCCTACGAAGCCACCGAGTCACACGCCGATCAGCTTCACCCAAGAAGATTTGAACGGAATCCACCTGCCTCACAACGACCCTTTGCTAGTCGTCCTTGAGATCGGTAAGTACGACGTAACCAAAGTACTAGTCGACACAGGAAGCTCGGTTGACCTAATCTTTCGTGATACGCTCGAAAAGATGGGGGTCGATTTCGACGACGTCAAGTCATCCTCACGGACCTTGACCGGCTTCAACGGCTCATCGGAAACCATCCTAGGAACGATCCGTCTCCCAGTCCGCGCGTGCGGAGTTACTCGAACTGTTAAATTCGCCGTGGTGAACACAAAAGCTCCTTATCACGTCATTCTCGGAACCCCATGGATACATTCGATGCAAGCAGTTCCATCAACCTACCACCAATNGCTTCAACGGCTCATCGGAAACCATCCTAGGAACGATCCGTCTCCCAGTCCGCGCGTGCGGAGTTACTCGAACTGTTAAATTCGCCGTGGTGAACACAAAAGCTCCTTATCACGTCATTCTCGGAACCCCATGGATACATTCGATGCAAGCAGTTCCATCAACCTACCACCAATGCATCAAGTTTCCCGGGGTAGACGGGACAATCAAGACCGTCCGTGGCGATCAGCAAGCCGCGCGAGACCTGCTAATCGCCACGGTCAAGCTGCAACGTTCATCGTCCCTAGTCAACTCTGTCTCTCATCCGATCGCTCAAACCTTTCCTCAGAAAGATGAGATTCTGGAGATGCCTGTAGACGATTCTGATCCGAGCAAGACGGTGCGCGTCGGTGCACATTTAACCGACGATATGCAGCACGGATTACTCACATTCCTGAAGAAAAACGTGTCCACCTTCGCTTGGTCTGTCACAGACCTGAAAGGAATCGATCCAGCGATAACCACTCACGAGCTCAACGTCGACCCCACTTTCAAGCCTATCCGTCAGAAACGACGTAAGCTGGGTCCGGAAAGAGCAAAAGCAGTGAACGAGGAAGTCGAACGACTACTCGGAGCTGGTTCAATCGCAGAAGTTCGTTACCCGGAATGGCTAGCGAATCCCGTGGTGGTCAAGAAAAAGAACGGGAAATGGCGCGTGTGCGTCGACTTCACCGATCTTAACAAAGCTTGCCCGAAGGATAGTTACCCATTACCCAGCATTGACCGTCTCGTAGAATCGACCGCAGGAAATGAGATGCTCACCTTCATGGATGCGTTCTCGGGCTACAACCAGATCATGATGCACCCCGATGATCGCGAGAAAACAGCGTTCATCACAGACCGAGGAACGTACTGTTATAAAGTCATGCCATTCGGGTTGAAGAATGCCGGTGCTACCTACCAGCGACTCGTCAACCGTATGTTCGCCGATAAACTCGGTAGCACCATGGAAGTTTATATCGACGATATGCTCGTCAAGTCGCTTCATGCCACAGATCACCTTAACCATTTACGCGATTGTTTCGAAACGCTAAACAAGTATGGGATGAAGCTGAACCCAGCTAAGTGTACGTTTGGAGTCTCTTCGGGCGAGTTTCTAGGCTACATCGTTACCCAACGAGGGATCGAAGCCAACCCGAAGCAAATATCAGCTGTGCTCGATCTCCCAAGTCCTAAGAATAGCCGCGAAGTCCAGCGGCTAACCGGTCGCATCGCCGCTCTTAACCGTTTCATTTCTAGATCAACCGATAAATGTCTCCCTTTCTATGATCTTCTCCGTGGAAACAAGAAATTCGTCTGGGACGATAAGTGCGAGGAAGCATTCTCCCAGCTCAAGAAGTACCTCACTACCCCTCCAGTCCTCGCAAAGCCAGACGAAGGGGACGTCCTCTCGCTCTATATCGCCGTCTCCAGCGCAGCGGTTAGCAGCGTCCTCATCAAGGAGGACAGAGGCGAACAGAA